CTAGAATCATAGCTAAAGGCATCACTGCGACATTACAAAAAAATAACCAAAACTGACCAGTGACAAGCAATCAGTCCCTGTGCATTTTTAATGAAAATAATTAGTTTATCACAGCTAAGACACTTTACTAAAAGGTCACCAACAATTATTTGATAGAGATTTAGAAAATAACCCTGAGGTATGAAGTAGGACCCAAATAAATAACCAAAGTCGCCAGGCATATTGACTTATACCTGTAATCTCAGCATCTGGTAGGCTGAGTCAGAAGGACTAATGAGTTCAAGGCCAGCCTGATCTACACAGAAAGTTTGAGGCCAGTTTGAGAAAATCTGATCTACACAGTAAGCCCTATTTCAGGAATTTTTTTTTTCAAAACCAAAGCTAATAAAATGAAGAAACAAGAAACCCTGACCACATTTGCTCTGTCCAGGAAATTTGTAGTATACTGTTTCTCAAAGCCTGAGAGAAAACTCTAACCTAACACCAGCAGGCTAAAGAAAGGATGGACTTCTCTCCAGATCTGATGCTGTATCCCAAAAGTCAACTTTCCTGAGAAAGAGCTCTTGTATACAAGATACTGTGGATCTTTCATGAAGTCCTTGGCTACAGCACAATGCTCTCTGCCCCATCTGTAAACCATCCTGAATAATCATCTAAGTATATTAGTAGTTAACAGGGTGTTTAAAAGGGTTTTCCCCAAACCAAATTTAAGTTAACTGAAGAACATTTACTGCTAGGCTTTCAGGTCTGGTGCTGCTCTGAATGGCCCCAGACTGCTAGTCAAGTTTGGGATACTCTTCTGTGTCTTGAAGATTATCTCTATTATCCCCTCCAGGCTGTAATCTGTTTTCTCTTAACAAAGACAGTAAGCTAGAAGTCCCCCATCCTCCTATCTACTCCCCACCACACCCTGTTAAGCCTCCCACACTTCCCATCATCTACTAGTTTCAATCTACTGTGGACTTAGATGCCAGATAATTTTGTCAAAAACATTTTAAATAAATACTAACAGGTTCTAACTAAGGACCTGAAAGGATTCCCCTATGATTTAAGATACAAACTTGTACAACTAGGCTGAAGGCCTCATTGCCCAATGTCTGTTTCTCATCCCAATTAATAGGAGGTTGGGGATAACAGTATTAGCAAATCATTTGCATTAAGAGCCCAGATAACTAACTGAAGAACAAGAATGTTAAATTGAGACTCCTGTCTCAAAGAATGGTCTCTCTCAGTTCTCTAATTTTATAACAATCTTAAGAGGTAAAAGCTACTTCTTCCATGTTTAGTAAGAAAACCAAGACTTGGGAGTTTAATTTACCCAATACCACAATGAGAAACCAAATACCAGTCTACTGCTTTTAGTCCAAGCCCCACCGCCATTCCACTACATGGCAATGCTGCCCAATCCCGCGTTCTTGGCTTAACTATTTGCATACAATATTCCTTTCACTGGAACCCAAATGACTCAAGTTCCTTTTCTTTCCTTAACCACTCTCTTTAACTAAGGGCAATGGTTAATCAAACTGAGACCAAAGTAAGCTTAGCAACTGTGTATCTGCTCAACAAGCATGTTTCTCAAAGATCAGCCATATCTTCTTCAATTTGAAGGATCTGCAAAGTGGCAGACACTGTCCCCCACCCCAACAAAGAGATTGTTCTTAGTGACATAGGAGCTAATACATCCCATCTGCCCTAATGCCATCCTTTACACTTGATAGAAAGCAGTGCATGCATACTTCAAGAACCTACTATGAATGAATTTATTGAATGCTCAGGCTCAACTTATAAACTCTAACATAATTTACTCTGGGACCTTGGTCATCAGACAGGAGTTCTTACTTTTCTAATTCCACTCGGGAATACTGGTGTGACTAGCCACAGAAAAAGTTTGTGTGAAAGTGGGCAAGTGTTATTTGTCCAATAAGAGTGATACCAAATTCTTTATATTAAGTTTCTGACACACCTTTGCAATACTTAGTGAAAAACATTTTGCACTTACAGAAACCAATGGCCTAAAAATGTCTTTTCTGCTTCTACACAAAGCATCCAAAAAGATATGCCTCTCTCCACCCCCTAAAAAGGATTCTTGTCCCAAGAATATGAATAAACCTCCATCTGCCAGACTGCACTATATACAGCTCCTGCGTGCACTACAAAAGCACCTGTATAAAAAAGGCTGCTGCCAATAAGGCTTCTGGAGTCCAGAGCATTAAACCAACAGAATCAAAGCCCAGCAAGAAGGGAAACAGGCCCAAAAGTCAAATCTGATAGTTTTGACAGAATATAAAAACTCAGAAGGTCCTTATCCACTAGTTCATGCAGCTAAACTGAGTTAGTTTGTTCATGTACATCCTCCCTAAGGCAAAGGCCTGAGTAAAAGCTACATTGTTACCTATAGTATCAATTGCTGTCCTCATTCAGTACCACCTCTGTTCTACTGAAGGAAAAGGCTGTGTACAAAACAAGCCCCAATATTCTTACCGAGAGTTCAAACACACAGTCAAGCCTAACAGGCCCCAAACAGGAAATTACTCTGCAGTTTTCCCCAAGACTATTACTCTGTAAACCATACAAATTGCATAGCTGTTTAGTGACGAGCACCTTAGAACCGTGAAAGCCAAACTTTGCTGAACACCTACAACATGAAATCACTTGAGATGCAGCTACAATACAGGAAATGCCAATCTCAGTACAGTAGTTAGGCCTGGCCAGTGAGCAGCTTCAACTCATTTAAGTCACTTGGATTTTAACATTAATCACATAAGCTGACACTCTAGAAATGTCCAAAGATCAGAACAATTTTTCTTACCACATCAGGTAAGTTTATGCAAAAACAAAGACATTATAAAAATAACAAGAGTGTTACTTTATGAACTTAATATAAACATTTGCCAAATGACCTAACAGAAAAAAATTCCTTATGGAGTTGTTTCATAGTTAAATGGAAGGAAAGGAAAAAAAACCCTTAAACTATGATACTTCTTCCATGTCTGGATTCCATCTGCTTCAATAACTCATGAATTGAAACTATTCCAACTTCGTTTTAACTACTTAGCACTTCTCTGTAAAGGAGAAAATTGCTTTTTACAGGGATCAAAGTAAACTAATAGGAAAGATATTTCAAGTATGGCAGCAAAGGTATTCTTGTGTTAGGCTCAAGAGAAACATCCTCTCTCTCAGTGTTTAAGGGGTCAGCTGAAATCACGAAAGGGACTCTGGACACTAACATATCAGAGTACCACTGTTAAAAAGATGATCTTCAGCTTAGTTTGCTTGATGATTCATTTATTTACAATGTCGTTTTATTAGTTTAAAACGTTACCATTTAGAATATTCCAACAAGGCCTGACAAAGGCGGTACACTGTTTCTGAATTATTTTTACCTTGTCATTTTTTTATTTTCTTTTAATTCGTGGGACAACAAACAGGTAGTATTTGCCTTTAAGGGCGAAAGGAAGGGATAACAAAATCAACCTCGATTTTTGTTTCCCTTTTGTTCAGGTTCACAAGGAAACCATAACACGCAAGGGTGAGAAGACAAAAAGTACCTGGCCCAAGGACAGTCTCCCTAAAACAAAATAATACAAGCACCGATTGAGAAAACCAAGTCTGAAGTATGTGCAATCAATTAGCATGCTTCCGAAAGGCGTGTGATTAGAAACTAATAGGCTGCACCCACGGAGCAACTTTCCCAAGTGCGTGGAGGATGAGCCCGGGAGTCTCAGCCACGAGCGTGTTTGTGAGTACACACTGCGATTCGGGACCCGCGACTGTTACGCTTAACAAAGACTACAGGAAAAAGGATTGGGAAAAAAAAAAAAAAAAAAGGAAAAAGTGGAAGCGAAGCAAAGTACCACACGCCCCTAAGTCGGCTCCCGGGCCCTTCTGCAACGCAAAGCGCGAGTGCGGCCACGCACCGGGATTGAAGCGGGCCGCAAGCAGGCTGGGCGGGGCGGGGGCTCGCGGCCCTGCCCACGGCGCCGACCCCGGCCCGCGCGCCACGGCCCGCCACACCCCACACGGGAGGCCACGTGACCCGGCCCCGCACACCCCTGCCCGGGAGTCCCGGTGCCCCGGCTTTACCTGCACCCAGCGCCAGGTCCCGCCCCGTCCGAGCCGAGCCTCGGACCTTTTGTTCCTTCCTCTTCCGACGGGCTCCGCGCCGCCGGAGGAGTGGGCGCGCGCAGGCGGAACTGCGCCGCGGGGCCCCCGCCCCGCCCCCAGGCCCGCGCTCGCCGCCGCCAGCGGACGGGTGGGGAGGGAGGGAGGGCGCCGCCAGCTCCGCTCGGCGCGTCCCCGCGCCCCGGCCTTGCCCGCACCCCGCGCCGCCGCCCTCCGCCCCGGCCGCCGAGCACCTACCTTCGGGCGGCTCGCACAGCGCTCGCGAGCTGCAGGCTGGCGAGCTGCTCCTCCGCCGCCGCGCGCGGTAGCCCCGCCTCCCTCCCCGAGCCGCGGGCCCCGCCGATTCGCCGGCGCAGCCCCGGGCTGGCACCCTGCCGCCCGCTGATTGGCGCCCGCGGCCGCCCGTTAGGCGTGAGGCACGCCGGCCGAGCGGGACGCGCACGGAAGACGGAGGGAGCACGGCAGGGACGGAAGGAGGCCGGGCGCCGCGGGCAGGGCCGGGGGCCGAACGGGGCGCGGGCAGGCGCGGGCCGCCGCCTCCGGCCCGACCGGCGGCACACGCAGCCAATCAGCGAACGGGGAGCCCGGGGTGTGAGCAGCGTGTCGGGGGGCCTGGAATCGGAAGGGAGACGTCGCTCGCTGATTGGTCCCGCCTTCCCCGTCGAGCGTGAGGCGAGGCGCGGCCGGGTGGGGTGGCCCGCCCGCGGTGGCGCTGGAGTTCGTGTCCGGCTCGCTCCCACGGGGCTCGTGGAGAAGCGCGGAAGGCCGCGCAGCCTGCCACACCCGCAGACCCTCGCCCCGGCGCCTCTGGGTGGAGCGCCGCGGCTAAGTCCTCGCCCACCTCCGTCGTGAGGCCGGAGTGGACACGTGCTCCGGCCCGGGCCCGCCCCCATCCTGGTCTGAGCCTCTGGGCCCGCAGAGCTCGGCAGAAACCCGAGTGCTGGCCGCAGAGGGGCGCGCCCTATGCAAATGAGTGGGCGGAGCCTCGTGGAGGTGGGGGTCGCGGACGAAAACCCGTGGAGTTGAGAGTTCTTGTCTGAGTGCTTGGGGTTAACGCTGGGCGGCTGATAGGGGTTTTTCTCCAACCCGGACCTTGGGTCCCGAATGCTCACTGTAAAGTGCTCTTGAATTTGCTGCCCCTGGTCCATTTTACCTTCACTGTGCCCCTGTTGCTAGGCCCCAACTTTTCACCTTTACCTATGGAAGAAGAAAGTCCCCAAACTTAAGACTGCCCACATCGCTGTAAACAGATTCTTGAGTACTCTTGATTTTAACTCAACTCCGGCAGCTGAAAGATTGAGTCCCAGTGTTAAGCACTGGGGAGCATCATAAACCCAAATTTGAAATGCCTCTTTCAGGTTGCTAGCGGTAAAGACGACGCCAGAAGACAGTTTCCTTGAACTGTCGTGCTAACTACCTCTTCATATGTTTCCTGGGAGATTCAAGTTAATCCAGTAAACCTCACTAGCAATACAGAGCAGTCCAGGAACTTGAAGCAGTTGTGAGTGAGGGATGTCCTCATATGTGAGGGTCTCCCAGAGGAGGGGCCTTCATTTGGACCTTGAGTTATTTGGTCATTCCTCGAGATTTACAGGTTTTTTTTTAAACAGGCTTTCAAAATCGCTACCTCTGTTATCATGGGAGAGTTGTGAAGAGCATCCCAGCTGGTTTTGAATGCAGCGCTAATCCAAATCCAAGGCTTTTGACAGAGTGGAGCTCACTTGCAATGATAACACCGACTTACACAGTTATGTGCTGATGAAATCATAAATGTAAACGAAGAGAACAAGACCCGAAACTAAACGAAAATTAAGGATCATTAGCTTCCCTTTGTGGACAAATATTTATGCTAACATGAAATTCCCCTTCACGGAGGGTTTTGGGTGTTTCTTCTGTTAACAGTTTTAGAGGAAGGCCACATAACCCCCGTTTTAATATTTTGTGGGCCAAGGATGTACTTCACTGGAAGAGCACTCGTCTGGCCCACGCTAGACCCTGGTTTTACCCCCCAGAACCACCAAAATAAAAGTTAAGTTTGAGAGGCACCACTTAAGGAGATCTCGTCTCAACCTTCCAAAGCTACCTGGGGGTGTGGTTAAGGCAAATGGTGCTCAAGTTAGAAGTAGGAAAACTGGTTCTGGCTTGCAACCCTTCTTTATACTGATAGAAATCAACAGCTTTAATACAGAATGGCCTCTTAAAAGTGGTCCTGAATCATAAAATATAATTGTGTGATTCATATGTGGATTTGGGTGTCACAAGAGTAGTTGTCAAGGGGAGGGGCAATAGATTCTAGAAGAATATGCTTCTTGAATTGGAGTTAAACCATCTCTCCAAAGTGTCGAACTTTGAGATCATAACTCCTCCATTTAAAAAGCCTTCCAAGATCTAGAGCAGTGGTTCTCAACAATATCATATCCTGCATATCATTACATTATGATTCATAATAGTAGTCAAATTTCAGTTGTGAAGTAGCAACGAAATAATTTTATGTGGGGGGTCACTACAATATGAAGAACTCTATTAAAGGGTCACAATATTAGCAAGATTGAGAACCACTGCCCAAAGGGATCTAGAGGACTGAAGAAAGAAATAGGGGCAACCTGGCTACTAATGCAGTCTCCAAGGGGACTGAAATGGGAGCATGCCTGCTACCCCCTCGGTTAGAAATGCATCTCAACCAAAGTGGGTCAAGAGAAGCTGAAGGCACATGGAGCAAGGATTACCATGGCAACAATCAGCTTAGAAATCCACTAGGGTACCTGAAGATCTATAAGTAGGTCCCTATTGTATAAGTGATATTGAATGAGTCTGGTTTTTTATATGAATGGACAGCAAGTTTAACCCTTCATTACTCAAGCCAGCATAAAATCAATTAAGCCTAAATCAAAGTGCATTTGAAAGACAAGAAAAATGATAACTTTCTGGAAAAAGCCTGAGAGGCATGAGTAAAAAATTTAAATGCCATTGTCAGTTCTTTTATAGTTTGGCTTAAAAAAATAATACATGCATCCGTTTTTCCAAAGATCCAACTCATGTTCATGTCCTATCTGTAAATCTCTAAATCCCTTCTGGTCTACTCAGACCAAAGTTATAGTACCTGTGTTCTTTTTTTGTTAATGTTGAGTTACACACATACTATGACTTTACCTGGATCAATGTTTGGATTGATGATTTATTCATACAGTAATGGGAGTTTCTTAACTTCTCATGTGTTCTTACTTTGTCTCCCCATCTAAATTGTAAACTTCTGAATGTCAAAACAGCTGCCTCCCAGTTGCCTCCTCACACCCTTACCAACATGCTAATAAGTGATAAGAGGTAAAATACAGTGTTAATATAGCCTGCAAGTAACGTGTATCACAGGTCTGCACTGTGTAGTGGGTACCATCCTTCTTTGTAGTTCCTTGTGTAACTGTTGGGTCTCTTCTCAAGATTGATGTTTGCTTGTTGTGGTGAGACAAAGTAGCAATGAATATTATTACATAAGAAAAGATACGGTTATTTGAAACTGAAACAATAATGACTGAATGAGATAACCTGAGAAAAAGTTATAAAGAACAACTACATGGTTACTTTTTTTTTGGAAAAATTATGAGGATATTCAATCTCAGCTAGATTTGTGTACCAGTACAATGAATCTTCATGTTGAAATAAATTTGTACTGATGATGTTTACACATACCTACACACACCCCAGAGAGAGGAGAGAGAATGCAGAAGTGCCTTATTTACATGCTAGGTTTTGCTAGAAAATATTTAATATCTAATGGGAAATATTAAATTCAACAGGTGTTCATCAGGCATTTGTTATGCACCTACCATAAAAGTATTGGCTGATCATGGAATATTCTCATTCTTTGGCCAAATTCCCTCTTACAGAGAGAGAGAGGTAAGAGGTAGTTTTTGAGAATTAGAGATTGTAACACAAATAGACTTTTGTTGGAAGAGAAAGCTGGTACCTACCTAGAGCCTTCACCTTACTGACTAGTGCTCTTGGTACCAGAAGGTACTCTGCAGGCTACTGAAGGAGACCTGTGAACACCAACACAGCTATAAATGCTTTGATCTCCAGTGGTGTCCTGCCTGCAGGAAATGCTAATGTAATGATGGCACAAATCATGATGGAGTCACCAACCAATCAATCTCTGACTTGACTCAAGGCCCACTCCACAAAATGGAACCCATACCCAACACCACCTGGGTGACCAGGAATCTGGGACTAGAGAGCCCAGGGGCCTGGAGAATAACCAATACTACCATCTTTCTAGATGAATACAGTGACAAAATGACTCCTAATGACATTCTACTTTACTCACAGATCATTGTCTTGCTCAGACATCATCAGAGAAGCCTCCTACCTGAAGCAGATGGGAACAAACACAGAGACCCACAGCCAGGAAATATGCAGAGAATGAAAACCTTGAAACACTCAGCCCTAAACAGGATGTCTCCATCAAATCCTTCCCCTCAGGGTTCAAGAAACCCTGAGAAAACAGAGGCAAAAAGAATAAGAGCCAGAGGGGATGGAGGACACCAAGGAAACAAGGCTTTCTAAGTGCAGCAGGCTGACACACATCTAAACTCAGAGACTAGCATAGTGTGCAGTATACACAGGACCAGCATGGGTCTGCACCAGAGAGGATCCCAGAGCTGAAAGGAGAAGTGGACACAGTTCCCTCATCCCTAGACCATAAGGAATCTCCAATTGATAGCCATTTGCAAATGAAAATTTAGTTTTCTCCAAGGAGGTCTCACTGGGAAAACAAACTACTCTTAAGAGCAGGCAGCATGCCCGGCAGGAGATGGCCAACCCAGAAAGACCTCAGTGGCATCGCTGGAGGTACTTGTCTCCTGTCTATTATGCTAGAGCTTTTTTTTTTCCCTGTAATCTTTTAATTTTATTTCTGTCTCTCTCTTTTCTATCCTTCAGGTCCATATACTATGGCTTCCAGGTTAGTGTTTTAACAGGATCCCTGAGTGTGTAAATATGTGGGTCTCTTTGTCTGCATCTGATTTGTGTCTTTGGTTGGTCTGTTTCTCTTCTGTTTGTTTCTTTTGTCCTATTCTGATTTGTTTGTTTTGTCTTATTTTATTATTATCCCTTAAAAGCCTGTTTGTTTTCTAATGAGAGATAGAAAGGGGGTGGATTTAGATGAGAGGGGAGGGTGGGAGTAGAGGTAGGGGAAACCATAATCAGGATATATTATGTGTGAGAGAAAAAAATCTATTTTCAATAAAAGGGAAAAAAGTGAGACATAGAGGTAGGGTTTTTACAAATTAAAAATTATAAGACAAATTTACTTTGGTTGAAAATAGTATGGCAAAAATAAATTGTATTTCTCATTCTCTGATAATCTATTACATTATTCTCATTTACATATTTAAATCCACAAATGATTATTACATTAATTGGTCATTAGAGAATTCATAAATGATTGTTGAAATGTTATTTGGAAAATTGCAGTACAGTTCCAGTACATTGAACATTCCTGCCAAGGCATTTAAACATTATCAGAGATCTACATGTTTGGAAAAAGCTAAACAAAAGCCAATGTCTAAACCCTGCGAGAACAATATACAAATTGTTTAAAGTTCTTTGTGAAGGAGAATAATATGCTAGTCAGATGTCAACAATAGGGCCTTATGCCTTGATTATAATAGTCTGTGTGACCATATTGGCTGAGCCAGGCTGCTGTTAAGCAGGACAAGTGTATGAAGGTAGAATACTCTTGAGGAGTCAGTCATGTTAGTATAATTGCTCTCATGAAGAACTTACTTAACTTGGTTGATGTAATTAACAATAGATACATAATCAGTGTTCTGATGACTAAATTAATGAGCTTCAGTTGTTTGTCCTTATTGTAAATAGTCCTTAACTGTGACAAAGACATTTGCTGGAGGATCTGATGATTGTATTAGCTGATGAGGGGCCAAAATGTAATTAATGATAGAAAAGAACCAATTATTGTTGTCCTAAAGCCTACAATGGTAGGTTTCAGGCTACAAAGAGACTCCATGTCAGCGCTTCCCTGTCTCCATGTAACCATGGAGCCTGATTGAATGTTCTTACTCTGCCGGGAAGGAAACTGAGACTCAGGCTCCCCCAGAGTTCTATGAACACTCACACAGCATCTTCTTCTCTGGTTTTGTCCACTAACTCTGACTGCTCCCCACACCATGCTGCCAAACAACTGTTCCGAGTTTTCACCTCCTCCGTCTTCCGGTTCCCATACATTCTGTGCATATGAGCTCATGTCTAATTCTCAGTGAAAGAAGAGGCCAATTTCCTACCCTCACCTAAACCTCTAGTGACAGATATGTTTGACTTCCATATGTACTCTACTGCTTCTGCAGAAGTCTTTCTTCTCCTCCTAGAGGCTTTCTTCCGTTTGCCCCACTGTCTTTCACTACCCAGCCTATGCGAGAGTACCTCCCCATCAACACACTCACAAACACCAAAGTCACACTCCAATCATGGTCTTTTTGTTTTGTTTTTCTTTAAAACGCTTATCACTATCTGGAATCATGTCCATATACAGGGACTGATCTATCTTTTGTCACCCTCCTGCTGATGTAAACTCCATATGACCAGGAACCATATCTCCTTGTCACCACAGTGTCCTTAAGCATGTCTACCTGGCTCAATTTCTGGATACATAGTGGCCCTCAAATTTTTTTAATGGATAGGTAATTTCACTCAGACTCAGTATACCAAAGCTAAACTGGTTATTATTATTTTTTATTTGCTCTAACTGTGTGTCTTAGCTCAGTTCCCTAGAAAACAGCCTGAGACATGGTATAGTCCCTTTATTTAGGAGATATGAGTCCAGGACATCAGTAGGGAGGTGAAAAGCCAAGAAAGACTGACGAACAATGCATTATGGTACAGTTTTGTCCCAACAATGATCCAGGACAAGCCTTGAAGAAACAACAGCTCCCTCTCTAGAAGTGCCATAACCCTTCAAACAGGATATCGCTAAGTATCGTGACGGACCAGTCATCGTGCCGTGGGATATCTGAAGTAGG